TATGACTATGGGCAAGCTTACACATGTATGTGGACATGCTTAGGTAGAGAGGCTAGGGTCAAGGTTGACGTGACTGACCAATGTACCGGAAGCTATCGTGGCCTCGGTTGTCCTTGCTCGGCGCATGACAAGCTCTCGAGCACTTGCTCGTGGCTGAGTGTTGCAGTCCCTCGGCTATGAGTTGGTGAGGGCGCTTCTTTAGCACTTGGAGTAGTCAAAGCCGGTGGGTATCGACCTCTCAGGAGGCCTTGGGCCGATACTTGTTGGCTCAACGTCCTCGGTGGGCTCACGAGCCCCCGGGGGTGACTCCTTGGTGTCTGGCCTACTGTAGTTTCTGGCCAGGATGGCTTGTGCCTTCTGGTTCTTGAGCCCTCACGGTGCGACGAGATTGCAGTCGTCGTGTGTCCACTTCTGGGTGTGGTTGCTGCTCTCGGCGAAGAGCTCTAGCGACCTATCGCTATGGAAGCAGGTTCTGAGGGCAACGCGGTTCGGTCCGCTTAGCGCGGCGCGTGGAGCTCTTAGAGAGGCCACTTCCTTGGATGCACATGCCTCCGAGTGAAAGCTATTAGTTCACTGAGCTGTGACGGATGGTTTGTCTGCCATGCGGGACTAGGCCCTGGTTCCGGGTTTGGCCTTGCGAGGCGTGGCACCGGGTAGCCACCTAATCACCAACGTCGACGCCACATGGCGGTGGGTGATCTCGTCGCTCATGTATGCCCTAACATGGTGCATTCCACTGGTGGCGGAGACGCTGCTCGGAGCGTGTCTCTACCGCCGGACCTAGGATTCCCACGCGGTTGACCACGATGGGGTAGAAACTGGTGATGGGCATCGACCCATTAGTGTGGATAACCTCATGGTTTCCCAAAAGGATGTGGCCGATTGAGGCCATTCCCTGTGTGAGTTCGCCAAGAGCTATGGGCCTTTAGCTTCTTGGGTGGAAGATTTGGCCACCCCCTATGTAGGTGAACTCTAGGATGCTGCCACTGAGGGCAGTTCCGAGAGTGTGTCCTCCTTAGACCGTGGGGTCCAAATCTCCTATGCAGAGGTATGGGCCGTAGCTGAAGGCGGACGCGGGCGCTAGCCCTCTGACGCCAGTGAACTCATAGTTTTTGTGGCGGATGTGGCCTCCATGAGCCATTCTGCGAGCGAGTCCACCGTTGGTGCGAGGAGCCATCACTTCCTTCTCAACAAACGAGAGTGCGTGACTGTCCCCTACCTGGCATGCCAGCTGTCGGTATTTTGTAAACCGAACTAGTAAATTTATACGATTGTCGCGCTACTTTAGGAAGTCGATGGTAGCATCCAAAAGATACAAGGATTTATACTGGTTCAGGCCGAAGCCTACGTCCAGTCTCAGAGTTGATCGGGTGCGTGTTCCTCTCTTGAATGCTCTAAAGTTCTTACAATGGGGGTGCAAAAATGGCGGAAGAGGTAGGAGTGCTAGAGCTAGAAGACGGGCTGCCCGAAGGGAAACTTCAGGAGCCCTTCTATGGTGTAAGAATGAGTGAATGAGTTTGGATCCCCAAGGTGGGTGCCTTGCATTTGAGTTGGGGGCAGGCGTGTATAAAGAAGAAGGTTCTCCCGATCGAAGGGTCGTGAGCACGAGGAAGGACATAGCTAACAAGCTTGCAAGCTATGCCATTTTTGTGGTGCCGCGTCTGGGCGTGGTTGTAAATCCACGGTCTTGTGGCCACGACACGGCATGGTGTGGCGTGGTGCTCTGTGTGCGGTCATGGCGGCACTCTTGTAAAGGCGATGGTGGTTCACCAGTTTTCATGTGCAACATGGTCTCCGTTGTGGTCTTCGCCATCGCTTCCCTAGTTTTTACGGGGCATCGACAGAGTTGGTAGCCTCCCCTAGGTCGTCAATCATCCGGTTGGCTTGTGGAGCTGAGGGCCACGATCCCGATCATTGGGGTTGTGGCTCCATAGGTTTGGATGACCTCTAAGTCAAGACTTTTGCCGTGGATCTCATCCCATGGTAGGTAGAATCATACATGCGTCTTGTCGGGCCGTGATCGGCGGCGGTGGGCTTGTATACCGGCTGTTATCGCCTTGGGCGGTGTTGTCTTGTCTCGAGCTGTGTGGCTTGAGGGTGGTGTCTCGACCGGACCAAGGCGACCGCTGTCCCCTCGGTCCTTGCAGGTCGATGTGGACGTGCCTATTCCTGTTAGGTAGGCACGCTTATTGGGCTCGACCTCTCCCTATTCCTCCTAGGGGTGAAGCGGTGGGGAGGTCATGAGTACATTGCACGTCGTGTGGCTAAGTCGATGAAGGGGTCGTGGCCGACCCGCCAGTAGCGCTTTGGCCTAGTTTTCTTGGATCAACTGGGCCTCGGTTGTTCGGGCTCTTCTTTGGCTGATATACCGTGGGTCGCTTGGCCTGCTATCTAATCGGTGCCCTGAGACACATAACCCCGAAATGATGCATTAAGAGATGGGGAAGCTGCATGCCATTAGATTAACCTAGCATATCGAGTAGGATGGTAGATTTGGTGGATAACTTTGGAGATTTCACCTTCTTATTCCTTCTTTCATTTCCTTTCCATTCTAGAGTGAGGAGATAGAGAGAGAGAATTGGTAGCGAGTGGTGTGGTTGTTGGAGGTAGGCATCAGATGTTGTTGGTCGTGGACAACTCGTCTTGACAAGTGGGGCCATAGGTTGTGAGGTGTGGACAATACACAATCTACAAGTTGTTGAGTCATAGTATCCTGACGGATAGTCTGACACAAAATCAAACGGTTGATCAGACCTGATTGGGTTGAGCAGGAAAGATTGGTCAATGGGCTAACACTTCTTTCAAGGCCTTCTTTAGTTGCCTAAATTTGGCGCCGCTAAAAACACTGGAACACACTGTAGATGCACGGTAGCATTTCATTTGTATTTGGTAATAATTGTCCAATCGTTGATTAATTAGGCTCAAAACGTTAAGTCTCGCAGGTACAACTAAACTGTGCAATTAGTTTTGATTTCGTCAACATTTAGTACTCCATGCATGTACCGCAAGTTTGATGTGACGGAGAATCTTTTTTTTTTTATATAGTGTCAAAATTGGAAATTTGGGGTGAACTAAACATGGCCCAAATAGGCCGACACAACAAGTGGACGATTCGAAGGACTAGTTTGGACTTCCCCAGCTCTAACTGTTTAGTCACATGCTTAGGGAGTACAAGGGTAGTGTCTCATATCCTTGATTTTGTTCGACTCTGGTAGTGCCATGATCTCTTTCCCTTTGGTTTCTCGATGTAAACCACTACCACCTCCCCTTGTTTGGCTTTCAAATTGGGGATGAGTGGCGCCACTGCATTGCTGTCTCACTTGGGGTGCCAAGGGTCTATCTCATATGACTCTTATCCAAGAAGGGTCTGGCAGCTTCGCTTTCTAGTTCATGTCAATTCATAGGGTTTAGCAAACCAGAAAACAATCTAGATAGAAACTTGTAGGTCGGGTGGCTCAAGAAGATAACTGGAAGTAGATACTTGCGAGCGTTAACTTGTAGTTTGGACTTGCTAATTTGGGATCCCGTGGCAAGCAAAAGCCCTAATATCACATTGTTACTCATACGTGATTGTAGGAGAAGTGATAGTAACAAGGATAGGGGGTTAACAACTTGGTGCTTTTAGCACCTCGGGGTGGCAAACATTTAAAAGCGAAACCTAAGGCACATTGCTAGGGGAAACATTATGTGGATTGAACAAGGTTTGGGCGATCTGAATCTGTTGAGGGCGACATGGTTGACAAACCTAGGGGAAACGTGAGTGCATGGCTTAATCACTCGAGGAGCACAAAGACAGCCTGTGTGAGATAGTGAGCTCCTACAAGGGTGTGGTTTAGTTCGATCGGGTGTCTAGAGTGGGCTAGACCAAATAGAGAGTGACTCCTAGAGGGGCTCCATCCATCCCACATGCTAATTAGCGGTGGTAAGGATGCACGTCTGATTGGTCGAGGTCTGACTCAAGAGGTTACTCATGGCTAGACTCCTCTAGAATGCTTCTAAGGTTAGTTGAACTTCATTAAGGAGGTGGATCTAGTCCCACTATTATTTAACAATTTTTTATCAAGGTTGGGTTTCTAAGTCATGCTATTCTATACACCCTAGTACTAATAAAGTATGATAATTTGTTTTGTCCCTCCCTCACTTCTATCCTTGTTCTCCTATTTTTCAATCTCTCGTCCCTCGCTCCACTCTTCTTGCTTTCATGGCAAGAGTCTGAGACTAGGGGCTCAGCGCAGGTAGACTATATCCTCCTCGATATGGCACCATTTACAATTAGTAGTTGCAAAACCTTCATTGCGGCTGCACCACTCATGTTATGGTGTTATGGTCTGGCCAGCCGAGCCTGAGACTGTGCGTGTCAATGTGTCATGGCTCAGCATGGCTCAACGCGCTTGAGGACGTGTAGCTTGCCTTCCACCTTTCTCAACCTCATAACATGTGTACACGATAACTATCTATTTAAAATGAGTCGATCGTGAGCCTGGGCTAGGTTTGTTTGTCCTAAGTCAAACTTTTAAACTTCCATAGTTAGCATACTAAATTTATATAATACTACCAACATAAGAATGACAATATTAGATTCATCATGAATGATACTTTCATGTATACCTATTTTAAGATAATATTCTTCTATAGAGATTACTAGTTGAAGCTTGGAACGGTTGACTTGGCAAACTTAGATGTTCGGAGGAAATAGTTTTTACAACCACTTGTCGAACTGGACAAGGTTTTTTTTTCTTGAACTAATGTGATAATTTCTGGTTATAATCTATATTAGGGGCATGCTCAGAGAAGTGGTTTTGTGCTCAAAATCCTTAGGATTCAGTACAAATTGATTTGAAGTAAACCATTGAAATTTCTTTAGCAACCCATCTCTTCCGGACATGTCGTAAATGTAAAATTTCTACGTCTTTCATAAGATCAGATATCAAATAGGAGACTCAAAGTACTTGGACGAGATGGGTATCGCTGCATGCTTGACGTAAGCAAAAATCTAGGCACTAGAGTTTCTTGAGCATGATATGCGCCCCGTGTTCCGGCTGCAAAGTGGACACCGGGAACGGTGCGTGAGTGTAGGACTGCGAGAGACCGAAGGAGAAGTGCTGCAGGATGCTGCTGAGCGCCATCTTGGCCTCGACCAGCGCGAAGCTCTGGCCCACGCAGATCCTTGGACCCCAGCCGAACGGGAAGAATGCCGGCGAGTCCTTGGACGCCCTGGAGATGCCGTCCTTGAACCTCTCCGGTCTGAACTCGTCGGCGTCCTCTCCCCACACATCCTTGTCGTGGTGAATGAAGACGATCGGTAGCGAGAGTAGCACCCCAGGCGGGTACGTGACGCCGCCCAGCTCCACCTCCTTGTACGTCTGCCGATCCAGTTGCACCACTGGCGGGTACAGCCTGAGAACCTCGTACAGTATCATGGTCACCTGCAAGGACCAAACAAGGACAGAAACGACCGTGTCAGACTTCCATTTCCGTGAGAAGTCGTGGGAGCAGAGCAGAGCACAGGCCGGCGAGCGAGTACTGACGATTTTCAGCTGCTGTATGCCGTCCAAGTCCGGCTGGTTGTCTCCCAAGACACTTTGAACTTCCTCCCTCGCTCGGTGCTGCCACTCCGGGTGCACACTCAGGAGGACCATCGTCCACGTGAGCAGCACAGCGGTGGTGTCCATCCCGGCGAAGTAGAACAGCTTCAGCTCCCCGATGATGTCGTCCATGGTCATGATTGGCTTGGAGTTCCCGGCCTGTTTGGTCTCGGCAATGTTGGATTCCATCATCAGGCCGAGCAGGTCGTCGTTGTTGGCACGGCCTTCTTTCATGGCCCTCTCCCGCTTGCTGACGATGCCTCTCAGAAGCGCCTGGAGCTCTCGCGCATTTGCCTTTATCCTTCTGTTTAGCTGTGTTGGCAGGAATCTGAAGAAATTCACCATATCAACAAGAACACGTAAATCGATCATGTGCAACTGCAACTGCAACTGCAATCTCCAGATGTAGGAGTACGTTCTTACCTGAAACCAGGGAGGTACAGGCTGTTCATCAGCTTCACTAGATTCTGAACTTGCTCGCACTGTATTTCGAAAATCCTCCTCCCTCGCCGAAACTGCTGCCGAAGGCCGTGCGCGAGATCACGTCGCCGGTGAGATTTTGGAACCCGGCCAGACATCTATCTCCTTCGCTCCGTCAGACTCCACGTAGCCCACCCATCTGGTTATCAGCTCGTTTGAGCACGCAGCAAACGCAGGCAACATTTTCTGCAGAGCAACCAAGCATCATATCCGACGACAAATGTCAGGTGTACTCTGAATCCGTCGAAGAACAAGCATAAACAGTAAGGTTGCATCAGCATCACTGGTACTTGTGAAAGTAGCGACGTTGAGCTTCTCGAGGTGAAAGGCCGGGTTGACGATCTTGCGGTGCGCGGCCCATTTCTCACCCTCGTGGTTCACCAGCCCGTTGGAGAGCCGTCTGACGATGCCGGTGTGCTTGCGTTTCTGGAAGTGACCAAACTTGTTGGCCATGATCTCCCGCACCAGCTTGGGGTCGTTCACGATCACCCTCGGCGTCGGACCGAGCCAGGTAACGGAAATTTTACCTGCAATTCATGTTTATTTTCCTTCGCTTGCATTGTCTTACGGTGGAAATGTATATGAACTACTACGAACTTTTTTTTAAGAAAGAACGGCAAAATCTTTGCCGTAATTTTTATTAAACGAAGAAAAAAAAACAAGATTATTTACAAAAACGACTCGCACGTCCCGAACAACGACTTGGACAAACTAGAAACCACTACGAAGAACAAAAGAGGAAAAACAGAACCAAAACTACGAACTCTGTTCTTTGAATTGAATACAGTGACGTGCTTACCATGTTCCCTGATGACGTTGTAGTAGAGGCGATTCACGCGCGGCGTGATGTCGTGCGAGAGCGGCATGGGCTTGGCCCGGGCAGCCATGGCCAATCGCGCTAACTCCTTGAGGTCGCCGAACGGGAAGCGGTACGTGGTGCCACGGAGGCCCTGGGACTGCAGGGCCCGACCCAGCCTCCGCGGGACGATTAGGGTCGACTCCAGCACGCGGCACGCCCACCAGAGGGCCATGAGCGCCGCAAGAAAACCGAGCAAGCTCCAGGGCTGTAACAGTGCGCCGATCGCCATGGCGGCGGAACCTGCAGAGTTTGATGAGTGGCTCTACGGGATAGTTGTAGGAGGAGAGGAGCAGCTGCACTGTGGCGGCACAGTTATAGGGAGCGGTGAAAGGAGAAATTTTGCGGCGCCTAGCGATCATTGGACGTATCCGCTTCGATGGAACAACCAAAGCTTCATCTGCGATGACTGTGTTGCTGACGTGCTCTGCCATCAGCGCTTACGTGCCTGCCCTCTGCCATCAGCGCTTACGTGCCAGCCCTCATGTCAGCATCCATGAACAGGAAGAAAGAAGTGAAGAAACGGGGATGAATCCGAGGTTCTTCCGTGCTTGCGTTGCGCCAAACATGACCTGCCAAAATGAATTATTTGGCCCCTCAACTTTCCCCATGTGCTCAGTTTGGTCCTCTTTACTTTCCCCATGTGCTTTAATTTGGTCCTCTTCATGGTTTAGAAGTTTCAAGGCTTTAAGATTTTTATAAAAGTGCTAAATAATAGAATTTTGAAAGTGGCAGATAAGCTGATAGGACCGTCGCAGACAGCCTTTATTCCGGGTCGTTATATCATGGAAGGAGTTGTGATGTTGTATGAAACGATCCATGAGCTGCATAGGAAAAAAAACAAGATGGTGTGATCTTAAAACTAGACTTCGAAAAGCATACCACAAATTAAAGTGTCCTTGTATACAACATGTCCTTGGAATAAAAGGATTCTCACTAACTTGGTGTGAATGGATTTCAAAAGTCATGTCCAGAGTGAGTGTTGCAGTAAAGGTTAATGATAATATAGGCCATTATTTCCAAACTAGGAAAAGAGTGAGGCAGAGGATCCGTTATCTCCAATCCTGTTTAATATAGTGGTCGACGTGTTGGCTATTCTTATTTCACGAGCTTAAGAGGTTAAAAAATCCAAGGGATTGTTCCACATTTGGTAGATGAGAGACTTTCAGTCCTTCAGTATGCAGATGACATTGTTATCTTTATGGACAATGATATAGAGCGGGCAAAAAACATAAAGCTTTTACTTTGTGCTTTTGAATAACTATCAAGACTAAGATCAATTTCCGTAATTTTGCTACGGAGCAGCCAAAGCCAATCAAAATGAATATACACAAATTTTTTGGTGTGATTTTGGGTCGTTCCCGTTTAGGTATTTGGGAATTCCTATGCATCATAGAAAACTCATGAATAAGGACTGAAAACATGTTGAAGAAAGATTTCAAAAGAGGCTGAATTGTTGGAGAAGTAAGATGTTGTCTTCAGGAGGGAGGTTTGTTCTGATTAACTCTGTATTGAGCAGTCTCTCCATGTTCATGCTATCCTTTTTTTAAAATGCCTAGAGGGGTTCTCAAGAAGTTGGATTATTTTAGGTCACGGTTTTTTTGGTAGAGTGATGAACAAAAAAAAATATAGATTGACTAAGTGGGAGAGTCCTAAATTTAGATGTTCATATCAAGTGTCTCCTAAACAAATAGCTTTTTAGGTTGCTGATTGGAGATAGGGTTTGGCAACAATTGCTTAAGAATAAATATCTAAGAGACAGAACTTTGACACAGGTTCAATACATACCTGGGGGCTCCTAGTTTTGGACTGGCCTCATGAAGGTCAAGGGGGAGTTTCTCTCTTTGGGTAAGTTTGATCTAGGTGATGGGTCTCAAGTACGATTTTAGGAGGACTCGTGGATATGACTACGTCCATTAAAATCTATCTTTCTCGCACTATATAATATTGTTAGGAGAAAAGGCGCATCTGTAAGAACGGTGTTGTCTATGACGCCATTAAATGTGGTTTTCAGGAGATCTCTGGTAGATGTTAATTTACAAGCATGGTACGATGTGGTCGCTATGGTTATATATGTACAGTTAACAAACCAGAGTAATCGCTTTGTGTGGGGCTACATCAGAATGGGTTGTTTTCAGTCAAATCCATGTACAGAGCCTTATTAGGAGCCGAAGCTATACCATATAACACATTAATCTGGAAACTGAAACTACATCTCAAAATCAAAGTATTTATATGGTATTTGTATAAGGGAGTAATCTTAACGAAGGATAATTTAGCAAGGCGGCAGTGGCAAGAAGATAGAAAGTGTTGTTTCTGTTCTTCTAACGAGTCTATACAACATTTACTCTTTGACTGTTTATGTTTCCTTTAATTTAATACCTCCAACTAGTGTACATAATTTGTTTAAAGGTTGGCTAGATGGGATAAATAGGAATTTGAAATCTCAGATTCTTGTGGGTGCAAGTGTAATTTATTGGACAATATGGTTAACCCGGAATGATATAGTTTTTGACAAGGTCATATCACAATCTTATTTGCAGGTTATCTTCAGATGGACCTACTAGACTAGGTTCTGGTCCCTATCTCTGTTATAATAGACCAATCAAAACTATACTAAGTACACCCAAAAAACGTCCCCCACTGAGGACCATAAACACTGTACATCAAAGCTATTGCATTCAGAAAATCGTCGTTAAAATAAAAGGCTAAAAATCATCCCAGAGTGGCAAACCCAATCCTATGGCCACGGTTGATTGTATCGACCGGATGATGAGGCATCATCGCACCGCGGGATCCTCCGTCGTGGCATGCAAAACCTGCGACCCTGGCCAACAGCCGCATGCAAAATCACGTGAAATCAGCACCACTCCCAATTTTGACACATGCAAATCAACGCACTCACGAATTGGCGTGCCTTTCCATCTTTTTTGTATCCGCAGAAACGCCCCCGTGCAGGAGTCGAGGCCGGCGGCTTCCGCTGCTCCGACGCCGGTCGCTCGAGCCCGCCTGTTATACGCCCCCAGGCCGCACGCGCGAGGCGCCATAGCTGGCCGCTCGATCCCGCCGCCCCTGTCCGGCTGCGCGATCCGCATCAGGCACGGCAACTCCGGCGTTGACCCATTTTTCCCTTGTTCTGTGACCGTCTCTAACAACCGCGACCCAAAATACAAAATACATTTTGTTTTTGGGTAGCGCTACAGCGAAGGTTTAATATCTATTTTTGTCTTCTCAAAAAAATAAGACCCAAAAGACAATCATCTTTATAAATGGGTCTCCAGGAGAGAGGATACTCAGATTTAGGTTATGCTTTTCCTGGCACCTAAAATAGGTCTTTCATATAGTTTATATTGGAAGCAATAGATATTATGTTAGAGATCCATTTTAAATTTAGGTTCCATAACATAACTGTTGCAGACAGGCTAAGCCCATCTCGACCCAACGCCGGCGCGACCTCACCAGCCATGGCTTCCCGACACAACAGTTTCGCACTACTGCCGTGCCGCGCCGATCGAAGGACACAGTCCCCGCGCTACCGCGACCGCGGCGCCCTAATCACTTGCTCGGCAGCTGCACCTAGATCCTGGTCGCGCGGCATCTTCACACGGCGGACACGAGCGAACATAGCCTCCGCCGAGACGACCAGGGCAATCTCCATCACCGTCTTCATCACCACGTGAAGACACCACACGTCCAGGAGATCGACCGTTGGAGATGCTGCCGTCGATCTCACCAGACCAGGGCGATCTCCATCGCCATCTTCATCACCACGTGACGCCACCACAAGCCCACATCTAGAGTTCGCGGGTTGGAGGCTCTTCCAGGCGCCGCGGAGGAGGCCACGCCTGTTAGAAGACTTGCAGGTTAGCATGATTTTGTGCTTTCTGATTGGCCCAAAACTATTGAGTCAATGTTCGTTCATACCATCTTTATTTTATCTAGGAATGAGTCAATCCTAGATTGCATCTGACATCTGCAAGTTCATTCAGCACTTGCAAAGCATCTTTATTTTAAGCACAGGAATGGTAACACACATGTCAAGCAGTGAAGGTTGTCTTTGAGTAAAACCGGCAATGGCTCCAGCCTCCGTCATCAGAGGCATCACCGTCACCTACATCCTAAAGAGAGAGAGAGATCAATATGCAGAATCCCTGAAATGGTTCAGTAAGAGTCTCCCTGAAATCCCATGATGAAAAATTGATAATCAATATGCAGAATCCTAAATATATGAAGCACATAGAGACTGCTACATGTTTGTCATGAATGTAAACTCAGTAATTTGTGCTTGGAATCTCAATATTCAGCTTGAAAGAATACGATATGACATAATCCAGTAACCGAGACAATACACATAACACACTGCAGGTTAGCAACATACCGCTTAGCATTTGGCATTTCATTTGTCAGGTGATTTGTTCTTATTTTTTATCTGTTGACAAACAGGAGAGGAAATTTATTTATATAGAGACCAAAGCTGTATAGAGAGCAAAGCTGTACAGAAATATTTGCAAAGGACTTTACAAAGAAGAAGCAAAAAAGAAACTAGTGATTTGTTCTTTGTTACAGATGCTTTTGTATTACTAGAATCGTGCCCGTGCATTGCCAAAATAATAACACGATAATTTTATGTTTAAGCATATGTTGTACTATTATCAAAAATCAATTCTTTAGGACACAATTCCATTTGTAGCCAATTCCTTCGCTTGTCTGACAGTAAAAATGGTCAACACAAATTCTACATAAGTGCTTGACAGTAAAAGCGGTCGCTGAGTTTATGGACACTTCTCGGCCCCTGCTGCCGAGCCGCCGCAGCCCTCAGTGTCGCCTCCCTCCCGCACCTCGCCGCCATCCGCGCCTCCAAGGAGGAGATGGAGGTCAAGCCGATCAGGAGAAGAGGAGTGAAGCGCTGAGTCACTATGGACGAGCTCTCCGGCTGTCCGGCACCATGCCTCCCTGGAGGAAACCCATCCTCGCTGTGCAGCCCACTCATCGCGCCGCCCTCCCCGCGGCCACGCACGCTCGCAGCGCTAGCCGCTAGCTCTCCGCGCCGGCCGCACACGCTCGCAGCCTGGTCGCGGGCTCGCTGTGTCACCCTCGACCTACCTCGACGATGGCCACGGCCCCCGTCCGCCGAGGATCCAATGCCACGCCTTCCCCGGCCAGATGGTGCAGTCATAATACAGTGAGGACAGTCGATGTACTGAGCATAAATATGTCATTCACGAGGTGGGG